AAAAAGACAAAAACGATTATTTTCAATAGTTTCCCGTCGGCTATTTCGTAACAGCACTGTATAGGTTACTAAAATAGTCATAACATTTTACTCAGATATTGGATTGACGCGAAATTGGTGGAGTTGGGAAAGTAGATTCAAATATCTTTAATTGGATAGGTTAAGGATCACGTAACTCTTAATATTCTAAGAAATATGGTCGTTTAAAGTTGACCCAAGCAGAATCTTACATTAAAACTTCAAGAAAACTTATCAAGAACTCATCAAGAACTCTAATCTTTAAATTTCAAGAACGAAATTACGCTGAATAAATCATGATTGGCGTGTGGGTGAAAGAACCCAACACTATGGAAGCTTACATACCTCTTATGGCTTAATCTCATGGTGACAATCCGCAACAACTCTCAAGCATCTCGACGAACGCTTCGATCCTCTCCTCTTTTCTCTTCTTTTCTCTTCTTCTTTTCTCTTCTTGAACTCTCAACTAAAACCCTAGGCGTATTTTAGGATTATAAAACTGAACCTAATAGGATTAGACCCTTAAAATATTACTAAAAACGAATTAAATCTGGTTGGGTAAGGAAAAGACCAAAATACCCCTCTTTATTTTCGGCTAACTTTCCTTAACTGGACAGCCTATCTTCAAAAGGCCATATCTCACTCATCCGACCTCGAAACATAGCAAACTCGGTGGCGTTGGAAAGATAATTCAAAGATCTTTCCTACGGTATCTGGTAGAACACCTAAATCATCTTGAGCTATGAGTTATGGTCATTTGAAGTCGACCCAAAACTCATACTTAGCTTAACTTGCAAAATTTCAGATTTTGCTATTTCCAATTTAACTCTTTTTGGAACTCAAGGTGCTACATCTAATGACCTTAACACTTAAGAAATTTTTAATTCCTTGCAAAAATCTCACTCACTACTAAGAAAGGTTCGGGTCTTAGTTCGAAAATTTTCTGGGGTGTTACAAAAATATAGAGAGAAATTAATCTCAACCAATTCACTCGGAATACGAGGTTCACAAATTCTCCCATATAATCGAAACTCTCAAAACCTTAGGACTACATTGTGAATGTTGATTAAGTTAGAAGGAACAAACTTCTATTTATAGAGTCCTAAACATTTTCCTACAAGAAAAAGACTAGTCAAATCTTAAACTTTTTCCTAAAAGGAAAAACTTATTTTTGGTAAGAAACTCAGAGCAATTAATACCTAACAGAAGGTTAGAAGGTAGTGTACTAATGTATTGCTTAAGGTGGTTGGTGTTTGTCATTGTTATTGTACTAATTGTATTATTGTAGTTCTTATTTTAATATTTATTATTGTTTACAATAGTCTATCCTAATATATTATTTAGTGTGTTTCGATTATCATACTATTTTTCTTACTTGCTATATTTTCTTTATTGACTCATTCTCTATACCTAAATTTCGAACACTTGAGCTAAGGATCTTTTGGAAATAGTTTCTCTACCTCCACGATGTAATATTAAGATCTTCGTACATTCTATCCTCCCCAAATCTCACTTGTGAAATTTCAATGAATATGTTGTTATTTTGTAACACGAATCCCTAAATATCTATTTCTAATGTAATTTACTTGCAATAACTGTATAAAGGTTTTCATCAAGTAGGGCAAGAAATCCCAAGTCGTTAGGTCAAGAAATTCAAAACTTGATAGAATTAGGAAGGAAACTTCCTTGAAAGCTGCAGGAATTTCAAGTGCAAAGTCTTGTAATTGTATGAACCACAAGTATTTTGAGACGGACGGAGTATCATATTTCATCTATAAATCAAATTCACCAGTCAAACTAAGTATACATACCTCAGAAAATCAAGAATGACATTGATTCTGATCATTTGCTTGCTTGTTCTGTCAATAATCCTTGTGGGCGTCAAACCTGCAGAGATCACTTACATGACAAGCAATTGTCCAAATACCGCTAGTGATTATACAGAAGGAAGCAAATTTCAGTTCAATCTTAACCGCTTATTGTACAGATTATTGTACAATAATGCTAGCAATTCCATCTATGCAAAACCCAGTGTAGGTGAAAACGATGACGATAAAGTTCATGGATTGTATCTCTGTAGAGGAGACGTTGCACCTAAAGACTGCCAAAACTGCATAGATGTGGCAAGTGAGCGGATCCAGCGTGAATGTCCGCTTAAGAAACAAGCAACTATATTGTATGATCAGTGTTTGATACGCTATTCTAGTATACCTAATTTTGCGTCCACGTTTAATGTCTCGTCTTATTATTGGATCGTTTACAACACAGAAAGCTTTTCATGGATGAACCAAGTTAAAGGGATTTCAGATGCAATGTTTGATAATCTCACCCCTAAAGCTACAAATGATCTCAAATATGCTGAAAGTTTTGATGAAATTACACCGTTGTCGTTATCTCAGAAGTTGTATGGCATGGTGCAGTGTATACCAGATTTGTCAGCGGAAGATTGCCGTGCTTGCCTGAAGGGTGCGCGGTCTGTAATCCCTAAATCTGTACCACGTGAATGTAGAGTTGTACATGAAAGCTGTCATTTAAGCTATCAATTCAAAAATCCTGAGGAAGGGAGAACGGGAGCACCACCACCGCCATCACCCACACTGGGACCGCCATCAACCGCACCAGGGGACAAAGACCAAGGTAATTATTCAAAATATATATAAGATCTTCTCGTTTACTACTTCTATTTCAATTTTTTTGTCTTGATTACTTTTCTTTTTAGTCTGTTTGAAAAAAGGTACAACATTAGTTCTGTGCTAAGATCAGTATTAGTTAGTTGCTTAATTAACTGATTAGAGGTGGTTATTGAGTTAGTTAGAGAGATAATCATCGATCTAGCACTATACAATTGAAAAGGAAGATATTTTCCCAATTCTCTATCTCTACTGTTCCATTGATAAAGCTTGAGCTTCAAGCCTTCGTGTGGCAAACTTAACATAGCTATCATCCTCCATTTTCGTGACTCTTTAATTCGAACTTTCTAGATGATATGTTCAAAACTTTATGTTTCAAAATTAAAGGGCATTTTAATATATTATATTCCACACAGGGGCGAATTCAGATGCTAAAAATGAGGTGCGTGAATTCGCGGTCTCTGTAAAATTAGGGATCTTATGTATATATTTTTAAAATTTGGTATAAATATTATCTAGGGTTCAATTCCCTCTTAATACATTTTTTATTAGTGCACTTATGTACTAGAAATCCTATATTCATCTCTTATTCTACCTATCTTTAATTTAAGATTATAGAATTTTAAAGTTTTATTTATTTTCTTGAACTGTGTCAAATAAAAAATTAATCGCACAAACAAATTGAAACTGAAAAAGTACTCATTAAGTTGCCTGTAGTGATTTTACTTCTAGGAGGTTGTTTATGAAGGCAAATGGAAGAAGAAAAAAACAATTTTCCCATAGAATCAATATATGGAGGCCTCATATATTCCCGCGTCTTTCACATTAAACTAATTACTTCAAAAAGATCATTTTTTTAAGAGAGAATTATTGAAAAATGAAAACATTTATGAACTTCGCGTAAATAAATACACTCTCATATATCTTTAAACTGTCACATAATATAACAAGTGGTTTCAAACTCTGTAGAATATGTGACACTTAATAAAAAGTCAAAAGAAGTGATGAAAACACTCCTGATGAAAATTTAGGGGTGTATTTCATTCATGTTGCAAGATTGGTGTATTTAAATTTAGTTAGTCAAGTAAAATGATGTTTTGAAGGCTGTCAATGATTTGAGAATGAAACTAATAATTCACGCTAAATTTAGAAGCAATGTTTTGAGCACTTCTCTTCATTTTTAGAAAGAAAAAAAACTTTAAAAATATTAATCTTTGACAGGCTATTTTTTGTTTTCAGGGGAAATTACTTGGAGGACCAAGGTTATTTGTATCGTCACAGGTGTTATAGCACTGCTGGCCGTTGTATTGACAGGATCTTGCCTTTACCTTAAGAAAAGAAGTAGAAGAAGAGCTGAGAGAGGTAACACAAAATTAATATTATTGGTTTAAAAGAAAACAATATTTCCTCTGTCTCAATTTATGTAACATATTTAATTAGATTTCGATATTCAAATAAGTCTATTTTTTATCATTAATTTTTCATATATCTTTTAAATATTTTGAATTGTCAATTATTGTGACTTGTATTACTTTTTACGTAGTTTACATATATATAAATTTCATTTCAAACTTTTTGAAGATTCTATGAGCAAATTCTCAGTCAAACTTAAATTATTTGACTCTCAAAAAATGAAATGTATGACATAAATTGAGACGAAGAGAGTAGTAATTAATGTTTCATCTAACCTATATAAAGTTGAATCTTTGCAGAGAGGAGGGAAAGGAGACGACTACTTCAATTGCTTGACATGGAAGGAAACTTACTTGGTGAATTTTAAATGTTGGATTTAATTAAGTTGTATTTTGTTTTAAACTCAATTCTGTTCTGCTTGTTCCTATTTTCAACCCCTCTTGTTGTGTGATTATTTCTGATGTCAGGGTATATTATATACTTGTACTGACTGGCTATGAAATACAATAAATCTCCATTTTTCCCATGTTAATTTTTTTCACAGAAAATAACTAGAGATTTTCGTACAGAAATGAATTTTTTTAGAATACATTACCTGCGGGAAATATTATTTTTGATAGAAATATCTGCAGGCAACGAGAGAGAAAATATTTTACTAATCCGCAGGAAAATCCTAAGGTATCCAGATTTATCTAGTACTGACATTTTTATGAAATTCTTCATGGAGTTGCAACAACTCAAACAACTACTGAAGGTGTTTCATTAACAAACATAATTATTTGGTTTTCTGCATAATCTTTTTCTTTTTTATTCTTCTTGGCAGCTCTAAGATTTGACTCGAACTCACAATCTTAAGGTTGAAAGTGAATGATGTTTACTAGGGATCTCTGTTTACTATCCCAACAACTTCCTCTCGTCTTCTGCATAGTCTCTAATTTTTCAATGACTTGAAAAAAAAATCATTTTTTTCTTTATAAAATTCTCACCCTCAAAGCAAAACAAGATTTGAAGGATAATTTGTCTCGGAGGATTTTTACGTAGGAATTTACATGGGTTTGCTGCGCAACCGCTTGTCATTCCTATACTTATATAAGCTTTAACCTGTCCCAATCTGTTTTGTTCCTTACTTCTTCTTTCTTTTTCTTTTTCTTTTTGGCGATTTATATTACTAGACAGAGTATCTAGAGCTGTTTTACTAAAAATATATAAAAAAATTCTTATGAATAATCAATTATAAGCAAGAGGGCCTAGGACTTACTTTACCAAATACTAATAAAGTAAAGAACCTCTACTAATTAACAAACGTGAAGAAAACAAGAACTAGAGAAAATTAGGTATTTTAGATCACCATAAAATTTCATATATTTTATGATGATACTAGAAATGAGAATGCTTAGATATATAATGCAAAAATATAAAAGTCAAGAAGAAAGTTGAGTAGCTACAACAATAGCTAAGTTGGATTTCTCACTTGTAACAACTCTATTTTGAGATAATTGTTGCCCCAATTCGATAATTGACTCATCGATCAAATTAGTAGAATTAATATGAACTTCAACGGCAGTATTTTGCATAATCTTGCCAACATTCAAATTAGTTGAAGCCAATTCTTTTGTAGAAAATAATTTAGTCATTTGGTTTCCATCCTTCTTTGCATTCAAAAATGCTCTTGCATCCTGTTTCAGATGCTCAACATTGTTAACCTCAAGAGAAGGTTGTACAAGACCTTTCTGAACTATCGGATTTAGATTTATGACGACTAGAACTCACCTCATGCTCTTGATGTTTGCAATCCATAAGGGGGGAGGACATACACGACTTCTTAATATTCTTCTAATACTTTCCAAGTTTTCTTTCAAGTTTGTGCATCTAATTAATTGAGATAATATCTCAGATGGTCACTCAATTATAGATTATTTGCTTAGAAAGTCACTCAATTTTGATTTTTAATTTAAAAGTCACTCAAACTGTTGCTATTTCACCTCTCCTGATGAATCTCGCTCGCCACTCTCGTTCTCTCCCTCGCCTCTCTCGTTTTTTTATACAAACGCAAGTGTATAAAGTGTGTTTGTGTTTGTATAAAGCGAGAGAAAATTGTATATATACATATATTTTCGTTCCCCTCTCTCCCCTCTCCCAGATCTCGCTCGCCACTCTCCCAGATCTCGCTCTCTCGCTCGCCTCTCTCACTATATACAAACACGCAAATGTATAAAATGCGTGAAAATTGTATATATACATATATTTTCGTTCCCCTCTCTCCCCTCTCCCAGATCTCGCTCGCCACTCTCCCAGATCTCGCTCTCTCGCTCGCCTCTCTCACTATATACAAACACGCAAATGTATAAAATGCGTGAAAATTGTATATATACATATATTTTCGTTCCCCTCTCTCCCCTCTCCCAGATCTCGCTCGCCACTCTCCCAGATCTCGCTCGCTCACTCGCCTCTCTCACTTTATACAATTGACTTTTTTGTATATGTATACCAAAGCAGATTATACAACTGTTTTCTTTTGTATATGTATAGCGAAATATACATATTTATGTTTGCTATAGAGCGCAATTATGCAAACTTTGTTACAACATACAAATATAAATTTTATGTTTCCTATATGTGAAAGTTGCTCTTCATTTAAAGCTTTATATGAAATCCGGAATCCCCCACGGCCCCACCAACCTCTTAGTTAGGCAAACGTGACGGTGTCCTCTGCCACTTTCACCCTTTTCTTCTAGAGTTTGCCATGCCTTCATTGACTTGTTTGTTTAAAGACATATGGGTGATATAATAAAATTTAAAAAAAACATAATTTTTATAAAAAGAAATTGGTATAATATTTTAGGAGAGGGAAAAATAATTAATTTTGTAGGAGAAAATGGTGTGAAATTTTATGAAGTTTTTTTTTTTAAGTTAAAAAGAAGACAATAATGATAAATTTTGTTAGCCTGTTGGGTTCAAAGTTAAATTTAACATTTTTTTCTTATTAATTTATAAAGTTTAAGATAAAAGACCGAAATGAACACTTTTTGTTAAACTTTAAGAATCATTTCAATTAAATGAATATATGACAGACCAAAATGAATACATTTGTTATACATTAAAACCATTTTAGGAGAGTTCAAGGTATATATGATCCTTTTAGGAGAGTTCAAAATATATTTTAATCTTTTTTATACATAAGTTATTCTTTAGTATAAAGAAAATAATTTAAAACTAATTTTGTGTGGCTGTACTATAATTTAAAACTATTTTCTCGTGACTGTATTGTAATTTAGTTTTTGTATTTGTAAAAAAATTGGTGCATCTATAATAAATTTTACAAGAAAATTAGTGAAACATAAATAAATTTGACCATCAAAATAATAAATTTAAATTAGTCGTTGAAACAAAAAAAGTCAAAAAAAAAATAAGACGTGTGAGGATGATTAAACATACCCCTATACAGATTATATATAAATTTTTTTAAATAAATTAAAATTATTCTTTTTTACTTCCATTAGAAAAAAAGAGATATGTGTGAGTCCTTAATATAATAATAATAATAATTGTTGACACCCAATTTTGGACCTCCACATTATAGATTAATCATCGAGCTTCTTCAATTTCAAACAATTTAAAATAATTAGTTTTATAAAATTTCAAAAAAAATTAAATTATAATATAGTTTGCAAGTTATTTTAAATAGTTGAATTATTTTTATAATTTTTAAATAATATATGTGTTTTTATAATTATGTATATAATTAGTATCTTTTAAGAATATTTGAAAATCATCACAAAAGATTTACATTTTAGTTAAATATTTTATTAATTTAATTTAGTTTAAATTATAGTTATAATTTTGAGTTAATTAGTTTGTAATTAAATTAATTATTTTATAATCAAATTAATTATCTTATTTCGTGAAGATTAAGAAGCCCCTTAATTAATTTATGAAAAATCGTCTTGTTTAAATGTCGACCAAATTCACTGGTTAAATTCCATTTTGGCTACAATTTAAATTCATTTGGTCATTTGTTTAATTACCATTTTTTCCAACATCTTAAACCCATCAAAAAACCCAAGTTTTGGGCCCTTTTTTTTTAGGACAAATTACTTAAATACACAACACTTTTTGACCTATTCTCAATATTTCCCTACTCTTTTACTAAAATACAAAAATTCCTTATTTTCTCACAATTCAACTTAAGTATTTTAATATATTTTATGATGATACTAGAAATGAGAATGCTTAGATATATAATGCAAAAATATAAAAGCCAAGAAGAAAGTTGAGTAGCTACAGCAGTAGCTAGGTTGGATTTCTCACTTGTAACAACTCTATTTTGAGATAATTGTTGCCCCAATCGATAATTGACTCATCGATCAAATTAGTAGAATTAATATGAACTTCAACGGCAGTATTTTCCATAATCTTGCTAACATTCAAATTAGTTGAAGCCAATTCTTTTGTAGAAAAAAATTTAGTTATTTGGTTTCCATCATTCTTTACATTCAAAAATGCTCTTGCATCCTATTTCAGATGCTCAACACTGTTCACCACAAGAGAAGGTTGTACAAGACCTTTCTGAACTATCGGATTTAGATTTATGACGACTAGAATTCACCTCATGCTCTTGATGTTTGCAATCCATAAGGGAGAAGAACATACACGACTTCTTAATATTGTTCTAATACTTTCAAGTTTTTGCATCTAACTAATTGAGATAATATCCTGGAATTTAGATGGTCAACTATAGATTATTTGTTTAGAAAGTCGCTCAATTTTGATTTTTAACTTAAAAATCACTCAACTATGATTTTTTCCTTCATAAGTCACTCAACTGTGAATTCTTTTCTTAGAAAGTCACTAAACTTTAATTTTTAGCAAGTCACTTAACAATGGTTGTTTTACTTACAAAGTCATTCAGCCATGAGTGTTTTATTTACAAAGCCAATCATCCTATTTAATTGATTTTTCATTAAAATTTACTAACATAAATTTTTTATTTCTAACCAAATTTTTAAGAAATAAAAAGATATTTTACTAGCAAACATTTTGCTACTGCCAAACTATTCACCCCTCAAATTGGAAACAATTTTTAGTTATTTGGATTAATATGATTTCGAAAGCAGATTAGCTTAAAGATCACAACAGAGTCCATCATTTCCTAATCTTTCTTCTTGGTTTCTTAACTTTTTCAAAAAACAAAAAAAAATAGATACAAATCGAGTAGTCATTTTATATAATCACTTACTAAATTATTTAAATGAATATCTATTTATCTCTTAAAATTTTGGTTAATAATTAATTTTATGTTAGTAAATATTAATGAAAAAAATAAATTAAATAGATTGAATGAATTTGTAAGTAAGCATTCTTAGTTGATTGACTTTATAAGTAAAACACTTCTAGTTGAGTGATTTTTGAGTTAATAATCAAAGTTTTGTGATTTTCTATAAATAAATAAAAACACATATTTGAGTGACTTTTGAGGAAAAAACCTTAGAGTAGAGTGATTTTTAAGTTAAAAATCAAAATTCAGTGATTTTTTG